ACAGCATTTCTCATGGTTTCTCTCCTCCAACCTCCAACACCTTCTTCCTATCTTCATTTTCAGTCCTCTATTTCACTGGGAAAATAGAAGCACTCAAAAGAGGATATCCTCGGGCTGGGAACTAAAGTGTCCCAGGTTCGATTCCCAGCCAGGGTACATTCCTGGGTTGTAGGCCATAACCCCCAGCAACCGCACATTGATGTCTGTCTGTCTGTCTGTCTCCCTCCCTCCCTCCCTCCCTCCCTTCCCTCTCTAAAAATAAATAAATAAAATCTTAAAAAAAAAAGAGGATATCCTCATTCTCCCACCAGCAAATCTATCCACCCACCTGCACCTGTACCTATAAACTCTGCCCCCCCTTTTATTACAATGGGTGAATTTCCCACACTCTGACAACTGGTCCTTCTGACAGTGTACTGGATTCCATCCCTTCTCTCTGCAAGGACTTTCCTCCTGCACTGTCCTGTCTGTCTGTATTGTCAGTTTTTCCCCTCTACTGTGTCATTTTTCCCCTTTCTTTTTTGTTTTCTTAAGATTTTATTTATTTATTTTTAGAGGAGGGAGAAAGAGAGGGAGAGAAACATCAATGCATGGTTGCCTCTCACACGTTCCCCACTGGGGACCTGGCCCATAACCCAGGCATGTGCCCTGATTGGGTACATTATTGACCGAACCTGTGACTCTTTGGTTTGCAGGCCAGCGCTCAATCCACTGAGCTACACCAGCCAGGGCTACTGTGTCATTTTTATTAGGGTACAAACATACTGCAATTTCTTAATTCCATCTTTAAAAACATTCCAGACCCATAATACACATAAAGACAGCTTTATTTTCCTGCTCATCTTAAAAAAGCAGAACTTAAAAGTACTGTCTATACTTACTTTCTCCACTTCCTCTCCTCCCCTCCTTTCATCCCACTTTTTTCAAACTTCTGCCACTACACCAAAATGTCATTGCTAATTCAACTTCCACATTGCTAATGCAGTGATCAACTCTTAGTTTTCACCCTAGTTGATACATCAGCAGCACAACACAGTAGATCATGCCCTTCTTCTTGAAACATTTTCTTCCCTTGATTTTGCAAATCCAAACTCACCTACTTTTCCATCTACCTCACCATTATTTCCTCTGAGTCTGCTCTGTTGGGTCCTCTTCATCTCCCTCACTTAAGCTACAGCATTGCTAGAAGAAACCGAACCGAGTCAGGGTAAGTTACTCTCTTACATACTGTTGATTTAGATTTTCCAGTGATTTGGACTCCAGTCTGCGGGATCTGTGTGCTGTGGCTGTGATGAACAAATTCATACAGACTACAGAAATCCTGTGGAGAAAAAGGGATGGCATGGCTGCTCTCTAAGTGAGAGAGAGGGCCCCTACCCCTGCCTGGACAGGCTTTTATTGCTTTTCTGGGTACATTACATTGAGGATGGTCCTCATTTACTAAGCACAGGTTCGCTGCAGGTGATTGATTACCTTTTACAGATAACAAAGGAAAGAATGTTGCTAATCACTTCAAAAAGAAGGATGTTGCAGATCAAGGGGAAAAGTGGTTGAACTGGTTACACTCCATACTTGGGAGGTTTAGCACAGACTTTAGGAAATTACTTTAAAGATATGCAATAAACATTTGCTGCCTCAATTTAGGGTGAGGGAGTTTCAGCAAAAGCAAGCCTCAAAGCAGCCTAGGTACGACGCAGTCCTGATTCCCCATGGGAAAACAGATCTGTGGGCATGGCTCCTGTATGCTGATTCACTCCCTGTCAGTTTTCCAAATCAGGGGCTGGGCTATATTCACCATACCATGTGGAGTGGTTCCTTATATTCCAATATTTAAAAATTCTGATGCCTATCTTTTTAAGTAAAAACGGTATGTACACTGTTGGGTAGGACAGATAATAAACAAAGGCAGGAAGGGGTGGGAGACATGTCTCACCCATTTACTCAGCAGTCCTGTGCCTGGTCGGATAAGATTTCCAAGTGGTCTGAAAATAACAAGCAAAACTATAATAGCACAGGAAGAGGGGAGCTCTTGAAATTCTGTTTCCACTAGCTGGGAAAGAAAGTCTTTGAAACTATGTATTAATCCTAAGGTCTGGAGAGGGGGGGAGGAGGGGGAACCTAGAGGCCGGCTACAGACATAAAACTCCTGAAGTCCTAATAGTTGGGGCACTCAGATTAGCTGGGTACCTCTTGCAGATTCAGGCTCAAGTGTATAAAAAACTTCAACCTTATTTCCAGTATACATGGGACACTCAGACTAGCTGAGGGCCTGCTTGCTGCTTCGTGCTCAAGTGCATTTCATAAATAAACTTGCTATCTCACTCCCACCATAGGTGTTGTCTCTCACTTGATTTCCTCTCTTGCAAGGAAGGCAAGAACTGAGGATGGGAGCCCCCGACTCAGGTGTCCCTGGTAGCATACACCTGCCTTTTTGTGGAGAGCACACACAGCCTGCCCTAAGTGACCAAAACATGTTTAGCAGAATTGAGTGATCAAAATAGCATGTGTTCCCTGACCAGTATGGCTCAGTTGGTTGGGTGAAATCGAGCAAAGAGAAAGGTCACCGGTTTGATTCCTGGTCAGGGCACATGCCTGGCTGGGGTGCGAGTTTGGTTCCAGATCGAGACATATATGAGAGGCAACTCCCCCTCTCTTTCTCCCTCCCATCCCCTTTCTCTAAAAATAAGTAAAAAAAAATTAGAAAACAAACAAAAAACACATGTGTTTATCAGAGCTGTCCTATAAACAACATGTGCTTATCAGAACTAAGCAAAACATGTTTACTATGAACTGACCAACACGACATGTATTTATTGAAACCAAACACAACATGGGTCAAAACAACATGACGCTGCAGCTTGAGGGGCATGAAAGCAGGAGACTCCAAGAACAGCCTGAGACAGCCAATACCCCGAAGCTGATAGATACCCACAGGCTGCCCCTCTCTGTGTTCTGGAGGATACCACTGACATACTGCTCCTGACTCCACCTTGCAAGACATTGACTTCCCAGCTGTCTTCAGGATCTCATCTCTGATCTGGATTCTTGGAACTCAGGTTTGTTTTCCCCCAATTCTGCTGCATGATACTGTTACTGATTGTTTCTGAGTGTTATCGCTATTGACTGATTGCTATTGATTGAGATTGAACCTGAATCAATAAAAGTTGAGTAAATAGTACAAGAGGGGACCCCCCAAATCCCTGAATTTATTTATAAAAATTGTGTATTTACTCTGACATGTTTAAACTTCAGTCACCTTCAAAGTACTCTTCCCCATTTGATGCAGTACAACTATTGAGATTCTTTTCCCCACTGCTCAAAAACAGTTTTTGAACTCTTTAATTTTGATGCCTTTTAGTTCTTCTGCTGGTTTTTGTTTCACCTCATCCCCAATGGCAAAAGGTTTCCATTTGAGGAGTTTTTTCATCCAGGGAAACAACAACAACAAAATGTCACTCAGGGTGAGATCAGGTGAACGGGGCAGAGGTGGGGGGCGGGAGGCAAGGGTGTCATGCTGTTTTAGGTCAAAAACTGCTGAACACACAGTATGGTGTGGGCAGGTGTGTGCGCAAATCACCCACTGTGAAATGGGAAATGTGTTAAAAGAGTCTTCAAAGAAATTCACTGATGCAGAACACAGCCTCTCACAATACCACCAGCTAGTACATTGATACAGATGGGTTCTTAGCTCACTCACCTGGTGTGGGGGAAGCCTGTATTTGTCATGAATGTATGTTTGTGGTATAATCTTTCCTGTAAGTCAGCTGGGCAACTGCTCAGCTCTCTGCCTCCTGAGCAGCCCAGCACCAAGGAACAGACAAGAGTCAAACACAGTAACTGTGCGTATTCACTCAGCTTTTATTGAGTGCAGGTTCACTCTAAGTAGAACATCAACATACATTAATATCCTGCTCACACTCTAACATTCTAAGAGAAATATAACATACACACACAGCAGTCAATGGGGGAAAGTGAACCTGAGTCCCAGAGTCTCAGTCTGCAGGTCTGGGAGACGGCTGGTGGGCAAGGGAGTTGTCAGCATCTGGCAAGGAAGGGTCCCAGCAGCCAGGTGGGCAGCAGGGCAGATGAAGTCTTCAGTCCCGCAGGGCAGAGACTCTGGCGGCCAATGCCAAGGGAGATCACCCTGGCATGGGGCAGGCAGTGGTCTGCAACTTGCCTCAGTTACACCTGGAAAGTGTTGTATGCCACTCTTTTGGGTCTTTTTAATGTCTTGGCACCCCTGATGCCAAGAGGGGAATTTATCCAGGAGCCTGTGGGTGGTACATTGCTGTTCTGCTTGACACCCCTGATGGCAAGTCTGGAATTTCCCCAGGAGCCTCTTTATGGGTGGTCCCACTCTGCAGACATGGCTATTCTGATCACATGTGCAGATATCTTAGGTGTGTCTCCTTACCAGATGTCTGCTCTGACTTAGGTAGTTTCCCTCTTGAACCAAAGTGTCATGGCTGACTGATGGCCATTTTGGTTGACATGAGTGACTCCACTTTGCTTTATAAACTTTATGCTATCTTTATGGGACCAGTGCCATTTTATTGGTCCTGCTCTGCACAGTACTACAAGGGGCCTGGCCTCCAAAAGATAATTTCGGTTTTGAGGGGGTCCTCCCTCATATAGTCATCCTTGTTGGACCATTGTTATTCCTTAGTCCCAGTGTTGTTTGTAGGGCTGGTGGCTGTATGAGCAGTCTCGCACCTTCCGCTTGTGACTAAGGTTGTAGGCTGCCTTATAGGAAAGACTACAGTGTGGCTACTTGTATGGCCACAGTATCGCTAGCAACACTTTAAAAAATGAGCATGCCTCTGAGGCAGTCCCACAGATACCAACCCAGGAATCTCCCGGAAAAAGAGATGGATGAATCTGAGGTTTTCCGGAAACGAGTTCCAAGGGTCTTATGGGAAATGTAGTCTTGGATGGATCTAGCCTGTACCCCTGGGGAGCCTGGGAACTCTAGCTGGGCAGTTACTTCCGCACACGCGCAATGGGACGGTAGCCAGTAGTCTGTATGTAATTATTCAACTTGTGTCCTATGTGGGCGTTGTTCCCGAGTCTCTGGGTGATAGATTTCTGTACACCGAGCTGACTTTGAGCCAGAGCTGGGAGCTTGGCGGTGAAAGGCTGACAGGTATGAGTGCGGGGCCAAGGGAAGGACGGAGAGAAAGACGGAGTCTGGTTTATTGGCTTAAACAACCGAAGATTAAATTTAACAAACTGCACCTTTGGTGACTTTGTTTTGGGTTGTGGGTCCTTTCCAATTCCGCAGCAGTTCAGAGAGAGCAGACGCCGGGCTCCGACTGCCATTCAGTGGGCTCCTAGATCCCGGCTGGGTCTGGGGCAGGCTCAGTGTGCATTCCTGCCTTCGTAGTCAAAGGTCACTGTGTAGGAGTTTGTGCACCAAACCGTACCTTTCTGGTTCCAAGAGCACCGTTGGCCTTACCAGAGCCTGCAGCAGGCAATGTTAAACCATTTCAAGGGATCTGAGAAGAAAGTATTTCTGAAACTGCCATGCTGTTTTTTTAAGGTATTCTCACAACCATCACCTGAAGTCACTGTTAAGATCTTCATTTTATATATGAAATAACTGAAGCTGAGAGAGATAAAGTTACTTGGCTGAACTCACATAGCTTAGTAGGTAGACGAGCTGAGATTAAAATCCAGATGAGTTTTCTCCAAATTTCATCCTTTTTTGGAAGATAGCACCCTGCAAAAAAACAAATAGTTTGATTTATTTTTCTTTTGAAATATTTGAGCAGTGAACTCTGAGTAAATATGAATTTGTCAGAATTTTTTTAAGGGTCACTAGGTGAATCTGCAGGTCTTCCAGTGAAGTTTGTGTAAATAAAACTGAGTCCCTCTTGAACATTTTAGCCTTTCTAGGGCCCCAGTAGTGCTGGTTGGAATTTGAAAAGGATTGCAGCCATAGGGAGACTGCACCCATAGGAGATGATGAATTTCTGGGGGCAGTGCAGATTTGGAGTCTAAACTGAAGGCTCCAGCTTAAAAAAAAATAGTTCCTGGTTCTCTGGGTCTAGCCCTCACAATACAGTCAACCTAATTTGAGGTATCTTACTCCAGTTTCAGATCAGAGACCACAGGTTCAGAGGAAGGAATGATTTCCAGAGATACCGAGCTTCAGAGACCAGGCTTTTAGTGAGTCTTTTAACTCATTCATTATTGTTTTTTTTTTTAGGATAAATTTCTGGGAAAAAAACCTGTCACTTGGTTCCAAGGCTAACAACTTTCTGTAAGATCAGTAGGACAGAAATGTACAACATCCATATATTCGCAACAAGCACGAGTAGAGACCCATGCTTTTAAAATAGGGGCTTTTCTGACTTGCTAGAAACATTCTCCCACTAGGTGGGATTCTCCGAGGCTGTAGTGTGGGTGCTTCTGCTGTGACAGAGCAGGGTCCTACATTGCAGTCCTGGTTTTTCATGTCCCTCTCTTCTTTTCCCATTTTTATTGTCAGAGATATCCATGCAAGAGTTGTAGAAAATGATCAACTTCCAGGTAAGGCATGTATTTATTCACTCATTTAAATCTCCCAAAAATCCACATAAAAAGGAAATGTATAGTCAGGGAAAATGTAGATTGAATGGATTGAGTCTAAAAGGAAATTTAGAATATGATTCAGCTGATACTCAGGTCATAGGGTCTGCACATAGTTGAAATAAATTTGAGCTGCATTTGTGTACCCAATATTTCTGGTGGTCACAGAAAATGGATAACCAACCAGTTAAAATATTGGCATTGTCTGTGAGGATAAAGCAAAATAGTTCCCCGGGTTTATCTGTGGTCAACATAACATCAGATTTCCTATGCCTTTCTTAGAGTGTTCCCTGCAGTAAACAGAGAACACGGTGCCGAGCAGCGCTGCATACACCCTCTTAATGTTCATCTGGAGAAAGAAGGAAGAGGTACCTTGTATGTTTTCAGGGTCTGCGGCTATTCTGGAGCATTTTCTCTTCCATGTGCACTTTAAAATCAGGTTGTCAGGGTCATTAAAGGAGTATGTGACTGCATTACACTTTTAGGTTACTTTGGAGAGAATTAATGACTTTTCAATAATGAGCCTTTCATTCATTTAATTTTTCTGATAGGGCCTTCATTATAGTTTTATAGTTTTATTATTGTAATTCTTGGACAATTTTTGTAATGTTCATTCTTACATGTGGTTCAAGTTGCTATTGAGAATGAAATAGATATTTTCATTATATTTTCGTATTGGTTATTCTCTTATACAGGAAAGTATGGATTAATGTGTTTGGCTTTAGAGTCACATTCTGCTTTATGACCGAGAACTGTGTCAGTAGGTGATTTTATCATTGTGCGAACATCATATAGTATGTGCTTACACAAACCTGGATGGTATAGCCTAGTACACATGCAGGCTAGGTGATATAGCTTATTGCTGCTATGCTACAAGTCTGTACAGCATATTACTGAGTAAAACAACACGAGATTAAACTAAGCACAAGAGAAAATGATTCAACCAAGAAACACTCTAAATGTGAAATGTGTTGGGCTGCTGCTGGCATCACATAGCAACTGTTTTTCAGAAAACATTTTTTTAAATAAGTACAAAGAGTACACTCCAAAATGACAACAAAAAGTATAGTAAATACATAAACCAGTAACATAGTAGTTTATTATCATTATCAAGTGTTACGTACTATACATAATTATATGTGCTATATTTTTATATGACTAGTAGCACAATTGGTTTGTTTACACCAGCATCATCACAAATGTGTGAGTAATGTGTTGCACCATGGGGTTATGACAGCTGCAACATCACTAGGTGATAGGAATTTTTTAGCTTTTTTATAATCTTATGGGATCACTGTTGTCTTTGTGGTCAGTCACTGATGGAAACATCATTATGCAGCACAGGACTGTATGTCAGTTTATGGAACTCTTACTAGGAGTTTTTTGTGTTTTTTTTTTTTACCTGAAAAGTAATTTTATTTTTGTTTAACCTTAAACTTGTCAATTGTTTCATTCCTTGAACAGCTTTATCTTGATACCCAGCTACACTCATTGGAAACTTAGTAAAAACTACTTGGTGTCTCCACCTGGAAGTTATAACCATACAACTAAGATGTTTTGAATAAAAGCCTATCCACATGCCAGATAAACTTTAGGAACTCTTATCATCTCTTCTTTTACAGAAACTCTCTCTCCTGGTATAGTTTGACTAAGGGCCAGAAAGCTAACTTCCTTAAATGCGACAAAAGTTTAAGTTTCCCAACTACCACTGTAAATAAGAAATCTTTCTTTCAAATACAAAATCAATTTCCTCAACTGTACAATGAATTATAATTTAATGGTTTTTCTCTTACTTCACTTCAAACAGCGACCTATACATCTGTTTAAGCAATAATAAATTTCTTCCTAGTTTTGTCAGAATAAAAAAAAAATCAAATGCGTCAGAGATACTACTAAAAATATTTCACCTATCAAATATATGGCCTGTGCATTGAAACACAAATTTTTCCAATTAATTTTCAAAACTTATAGAACCTCTATTTTATAAATTATCAATCTTTGAAATAATTTGAATGAATGCTTTAACAAAAACTAATTCATAAGTCCCTATTATAATCATCAGTTTTAACAAGTCTCCTAAATATATTCTACATCAGTTTTCTTGATTATTAGATGTCAATAATATGGACATATTTTTGATATAACAGAACATTTAATTACATCAGTTTCCCTTCAGCACACAAGTCATTTGATGATGATCACATTGGCCATTTCCATTGGTTGGCAGGAAATGCTCCCAAGGTTTCCATTGTATCATTTTTCTGGCCAGACTTAGTTCATTTTCAGCCTGAAGAATCACCTCTTCTATTTGGCCACCCTGAAGTTGGTCTTCTAATTTTTTAACATCTGGTTCCGCTTTAACCATATTCAGCCTCTCATTTGTAATCTGTTCTGTGTACTTTCTATATGATGTATTTTTAGGGATTTGCTCAAGAACATCAAGAATTTTTGTGTACAATACTCTTAGCCTCTCGTGTGGACTTTCACATACCACCAACCCCACAAGGCCAGTAGTCTTCTTCAGCAAGCCCGCCATGACAGCGCCGAAGAGAGGAGTACGAGAAGCCCCACGAGGAGGTTTTTAGTTGATTCCTAGATTTTACAGTTAGACGGTCATACGCTCTTCAAGTGGAGTTTGTCTCTGACTTCTCTCTCTCTCTCTAAATATATATATATATATCCATTTTTTGTCTTATTGCAAGGGACAGGACTTCTAGTAATTATAATTTTGAATGCAATTGCTAGCCAAAATCTTTTTGTTCCATTTTTAATGGAGATGCTTGCAGTGTTTCACTGTTCCGTCTTGTATTCTGATAGTTGTTTTTTGTTTTTGTTTTTAATCAAGTTAAGGATTTTTAGCTTGTGAAAATTATTTTCATAAATTGAGAACTTTTTTTATCACATCCTTTTTAAATACCTCTCAGTAAAATTATATATATTTATCTTATCTAGTATAGCAGTTTAGAGAATTTCTGTTACATTTCCCAATACTGAACTATGTATGTATTCCTGGGATAAACTATACTGAGTCTCTTAACTATTTAAAAGACCAGGTAGTAAATATTTTAGGCTTGAAGGCCATATAGCCTATGGAAACTGCCCAACTCTGCCCTTGTAGCTGAGGTAAATAAATATAACCACACTCCAGTAACATTTAATTTACAAAAATAGGAGGCCAGCCCATGTGTTGTGGTCTGCTGACTCCTGCTGTTCCCTGCTTTTTATGGTCTTAGCCATCTCTTTGTGATAGACATGTAGCTACATGCCTTTTTAGTTTCAGTTTAAGTTAATTAAACGTGACTTTGGCTTTATGGTTGAAAGGATAAATTATATCATGTTAACAAAAATCCACATCTTCCTATTTTATTATGCTTACATGAGTCTGGTATGTTAACCTTACAGCTCCTGTAACATCTTATTGCACTTACATGTGTGCTTTGTATTGTCTAATAGATTGTGAGATCTCCGAGGGCAGTAATAATTTTATTCTGTTTCGCAATACTAGTGCAGTATCTGGCCCTCATTGCAAATTTTATGAGTGAAGAATATATAAGCAATATTTTAAAATAATGTTATTGAGATATAATTTGCATATTACAAATTGACCTGTTTTAAAGTATATACAATTCACTGGTTTTTGTTTACCCATGGAATTGTGAAACTATCACCACTACCTAATTTAAGAACATTTTGTTACCCTCAAAAGAAACCTCATACCTATTCCTTCCTTCCCCCAGCCCTAATTTACTTACTGTTTCTATGGATTTGCCTATCCTGAACATTTTATACAAATGGAATCATGCAATATGTGATCATTTGTAATTGACTTCTTTCACCCAGTACAATATTTACATCTATGTTGTAGATACCTTTTTATTGCTGAGCAATATTGCATCATGTGCAATTCCATCCAGTAGTTGATGGATACTCATATTGGTTTCACTTTTTGGCTATTTAATAATTCTTCTGTGAACATTGTGCACAGGTTTTTGTGTGGGCTTGTATTTTCAATTCTCTTGGGTGTACACCTGTGAGGAGTTAATTGTTGGATCATGTAGTAACTCTGTGTTTAACATTTTGTGGAACTGACAAACTGTTTTCCTTAGTTGCTGCACAGTTGTACAATCCCACCAGCTATGTATGACAATTCCAGTTTCTCCACGTCCTCGCTAACGTTTGTCATTGTCTGTCTTTAATTTTGGCCATCCTAGTGAGTTTGAAGTGATACCTCGTTGTAGCTTTGGTTTGCATTTTACTAATGACTAATGATGTTGAGCATCTTTTCATGTGCTTACGGACTACATATGTCTTTGGAGAAGTGTCTGTTCAAATCCTTTGGCTATTTTTCAATTTGGTTGTCTATTATGTTATAAGCATTCTTTTTATATTCTAGATACAAATCTCTTATCAGGTATATGATTTGCAAGTATTTCCTCCCATTCTGTGTTGTCTTTTCAGTTTCTGGATGGTGTCCTTTGAAACATGAAATTTTTAAATTTTGATGAATTTCAATTTACCTATTTTTTTATTTTGTCACTTATACTTTTTCTGTCATATTTAAGAAACCACGGCTAATCCCAGGTCACAAAGACGTACTCCTAGGTTTTATTCTAGGAATTTTTAGTCTTAGCTCATTCATTTAGGTCTCTCACCCATTTTTCATTTATTTTTGTATATGATGTGAGGTGTGTGGGGGAAGGGAGTCCAGCTTCATTCTTTTGCATGTGGATATCTGGTTGTCCCAACACCATTTGTTAAAAAGAATATACTTCCCCCCATTGAATTGTCCTGGCAGTAGTGGAATATTTAAATATGATTTTTGTTTCTATCATAGAGTCTATTTCTGAATCAAACATGCAGTAATCTATCATACATAACTTTTTGAAAACAGTGAACATGATATGACCATAAGAGGCTGACATGATTCTCTTGCAAGTCTCCAAGTGATTCACACTTTAGTTTGAAGATCAATGTGCTGTTACAGGGATCATTGACATTCCAGGATGTGGCTGTGGACTTCACCTCAGAGGAGTGGCAGCTGCTTGACTGTGATCAGAGAACCTTGTATTGGGATGTGATGTTGGAGAACTTTAGAAACCTCATCTCATTGGGTAAGGACAGTGGGTGGAGACTTTTGTTGTAACTCAGTGTGTTAATAGTGCACTTCCTTGAAGACTTGTGAAAGCTGTGAACGTTGAAGCTTTAGTAAGTTGGGCCCTGAATCTTAGTGATCAAAGATTCTTCATCTTCCGTGAGGGCCAGAGAGTCTGTTTATGCTTCTACTTCCCACATGGAGGAGAAGAGTCTTTCTGTTCTAAACATAGTCGTCCTTTCAGGCCCCGAGACTCAAGGAGGCAGACCTGAGTCGTTTGTCCCTAGCACCTCGTTCCCAGTTCTGTGTTGTTTCCCTTGAACAGGGGCTCCAGTTACCAAACCAAAAGCGGTCTTCAAGGTGGAGCAAGGACCAGAGCTGCAGGTGGTGGAGGGAGAGAGCCCACACAGGAGCCACCTGGGTGAGTGAGAGAAATCCAGGTGGATGAGAGTCTTTGGAATTGGTCAGTGAGGGACAGGCATCTTTGAAATACTTTTCAGGAAGCATCTCTTGAAAGCCACACACTTTTGGAAGTGACTGGTACACTTGACATACTATCATCAGATCCCCAAATGCACCTTCACTTTCACTCCCCACAGAGCTGCTCTTTCCCTTTGCTCACCTCTGTGTGAAGGAGAGTCCCTCTCCTCTGTACCCTGCCTTCTCGCACTGCCTGCTGCATCTGGGTCCTTGCTTTGTTCTCTTAATTCCTGAAATCCTCCTCCTCCTTCCCTCCCCAATGTGATCACAGAGCTTTTCCATACGTCTAAATCTCAGTGTCGTCAGATTGTGTGGATTTGAAGTCTTAGTCCACCAATCACTGTCTAGCCTAATTACTCCGTAGCACATTTTTACTTACAAAATAGGGACAATATTCATCTTTATCTCAGGTTTCCTTGTAAAGGTTATATGAGTTAATTCATGCGAAGCCCGTCAAATAGTTGGCAGATAGTCAGTGTTCAGCATATGTTAGTTATTTTTATTTCAGAACTTTTAGTTACATCATGCTCTTTCTAATTATTTTCCTTAAAAAAAAATCACTTTTTGTCTTGCATCAGACATCCCACCTGTGTACCCCTCCTTGCCCATCTTTAGCCTCACTGATGACCTGAGGTATCTGTCTGCCTTAGAGTTCATTTTTCTGCTTCATTTGGTAATTTGATTGTTGTTGGAAATTCTCCTCCGACTCCTTTGAGTTGGTTCCTTGCTAATACGCCCTCGCCCGTACTGCTTACTCATCTTTTGCTTCTTGGCTTCCCTTTTACCTTCTGAACTTTTCTCCGCAGTAAGTCCCTCAAAAGCTTTGTCACTAAAGACTAAAGTTATTTGTTTTATGCCCTCTTTTGCCTCACCAACTTTCTGTTCCCCCTACTTTTACCCCACCTGGCTTTCTAGTCTCAGTTTTTTCGTAGTCACTGATATCCTTCAAGTTCACATTATCTTTATATTACAGTGAAGAATAATGAGTGGCCTGCTGCTTTGCCACCTCAAAATCACCCTGGTAGGCAGTTTGGTTTTTTTCTTCTCAAGAATTTCTTCTTAAGTACTGTTGTGACTTAATTGCCTATGATTTCAACTATTAGTTTATCCAAGACTGATTCAACATAAAAATTTTCCTTTCCACAGAGTCTGTAAAAGAAGTATGTTTCAAATGATTAAGACACCATTAAATATATTTTAGATTACCTGGGACCTCAACTTCTGACATAAACCAAATGAATCCTAACTCCTGAAATGGTGCCTAGGCTGTTTATATTCCTATATTGTGAATTCTTTCATATTTTCTGGTTTATCTTAGATATTCCTGCAAGGTTTATTCAAATTAATTTTTCTTGTCACTTTCCTGACAAACATAACTTACTCCTTTATACCCTGCATTGTGATATTTAAATGACTTTTAAAGCCCTCTATAATGTGATCCCATTTTATTTATCCAGAATTGTTCTTCTTTTTCTCTATTCCATAGCGATTGGGTTCTTTCACATACTGTACATAATTTTCTTCTCTGCATCAGTCCTTTTGATTCAGGTGGGCTCCACTTAACTAAAACCAGAAGATATTAAATCTGAATTCAGTTTTCCCTTTCGTGGTAACTGCAGCTGAGATTAATTCTACCTTCTTTGAACTCCCACCCCAACTCTAGTGTGGTTCTCTCATAAAAACTTGACAAATACTTATCTTAGATTAAAAAAAATCCCTATGGCTTTTAAGGCATATTTCCTTATGATAACACCCTGAAGAGAAAGACCTGTATCACTTTTCCTGTTACACCATTGTTGAGCACATAATGGCATTCAGTGAACAGTTATTTCATGAACTCACTGTCATAAAGTCAGGCATTATGGGGATTTTCTTATTCTTTCTTTCAACAAAGCCTTTGGTTGTTTCCCGAGAAGCATTCAAAGAAAGTAAGAAAAAGGAAAGAAAAGGAAAAACCATTAACTTTTTCCAAATGTGTAAATTATAGTTGAAAATGCAAAACATATCCATATACAATATAAGTTGATGAGTGCAGAACATTTGCTCAGTGCATGCTAACACTGCAGTTTTCTTGTTAGTTGTCAAAATGTATGATTTAGGAAGTAACAGTGACATGCAGACAAAGTGAAGGTTAAACTTTAAAGTGTGTAAGGATTAGAGAAGTCTCTTTTTGAGGTCGTGGAACAAGGGGGCCTCCCTAAAGATATCTAAGTACTAGATAGGATGAGAGGGGTGAGGGAGGGCAAGTTATAGTAGGGAAGGATTATGAGCAAAAGATTGTGGTTATTTAGAGTCTGAACTCTGGGACAGAGGCTATGTGTTCAGGACTAGAAGAATGCATGCTTAGATACCATGAATGCATTCATTATATTGCACAGTTTGTTCACCAGGCTAATTACCCTGGATTTTTCAGTTAGTTATTATTGGTTGATGTGACACAGGATGCTATTTCCCCTTGACTGAAGTGAGAGAAGATAGAAACACAGTCTCCATACTTAGAACCACTCTGTAAAGACATGTGTATTAATGTCTGTAGCCCACTACACAGCTCCATAAAGAAAGCTCCCTAAAGAAAGCTAAGGCACAGAGCCAGAGGCTAAGGGTTTTGTGCTGAAACTCCACATGGAAGAAATCTCAGAAACAGGGAATTATAATCCTCTCTTCCTGTTTTTTTTTCTTTCTCTATTTTTAATAGAGCAATGAATTTGGAATTTACAGGGTTTTGAGGATGGACATGAAAAAGTGTGACTTTAGGACCAAAGCAGCTTTCTGAGGATTAGTTTGTTAGGCAGTTTGAAAGAGAATTTAAAAACAGTTCTTGTCAAATACAAATATGACAGATTTCATATATAGAAACCCAGCCAGGATAAAAATGACAGCAAGCAGACAGAATCTGTACTGGGGCTAAGGATGACTTGCTCTTGAGTGACCTGTTTGGACATCTGTGTTCCTGGCCTCACAGCTAAGTGCACGGGAGAATGAATCCCAGCTGCAGTAAAGTTGGAGCTCTGTCTGCAGATATGTCTCGGCTGTGGTTTGGATGGGGTTAGAGGACTGGAGATATAAGAATGTTCCTGAAGGGAACTGATACTGTGTCAGGTGATTAAGAGGAAAAAGAGATGCAGATGGGGGAAATAGGGGAGTTATCCTAAAAAGGTAATCTAGAAATTAGGTAGTGAGGACTCTGGTTCTGATCTGCCTCCTGCAAGTCTAGTTTTTCCTCTGATAATTTCTCTTAACCCCCTGGGTCTTTTGTTCCCCTCTTTGCCCTATCCACTGATCAGATCTCTACAGTGGGCTCTCTTCATTGTCTGAGCTGACTGAGCACGCTTGTTGAGCAACCTTTGACTTCGTACCCTAGTCACTGTACCTTGTGCCTATTTTTCAGTCTTTGCAAAAGTCACGCATTAAGCCACCTGTTCTCATTATTGTCATTCATCTGCTCCCATTTCTTCTTTAGAGTTTTATTATTAAAGCTTAGGAGCAAGGCAAATATGGGACTTGTTTCAAAATGAGAGACTAGATTTGAAGTCATATATGTTTCTTCCTGTAACTGTTGACGGAAAAAAATTAACTAGGAATGTCTTGTACTTTTTTTTAGAAGCTGACTGCCCATTTGTTGATGAGTCAGAGAAGCACCAAGAAAGCAAAGACAATTTTTTGAATTCAGTTTTGTTTACATTCAATAAAATTCTGACTATGGAGAGACTCCTTGGTTATAATATGGACACACGTCATATTGGAAAAAATCATATAAATGCAAGAAAAATATTATATAAGTGCAAATCATATGGGAAGAGTTTGCAACCTACTTTAGGCTTACTTAGTTATAACATATATTATAATGGAGAAAACTCTTATCAATGCAAGGACTGTGGGAAAGTCTTCAAAAAAAAATTTCATTTAATTAGACATGAAAAAAATCACACAAGAAGAAAACCGTTTGAATGCAATGACTGTGGGAAAGCCTATAGCAGGAAGGCACACCTTGCAACGCATCAGAAAGTTCATAATGGAGAGAAACCCTTTGTGTGCAGTGACTGTGGGAAAGCCTTTGTACATAAAGCACAGCTTGTGGTGCACCAGAGACTGCACACTGGAGAGAAACCCTATGAATGCAGTCAGTGTGGGAAATCATTCACGTGGAACTCCTCCTTCACTCAACATGTGAAATCTCATACACTGGAGAACTCATTTGAATGTAAGGAATGTGGGAAAACCTTCAGGTATAGTTCATCCCTTTATAAACATTCTCGATTTCATACTGGAGAGAAACCATACCAATGTATCGTATGTGGCAAAGCCTTTGGCAACACATCTGTGCTTGTTACACATCAAAGAATTCACACGGGAGAAAAGCCTTATGGATGTATTGAATGTGGCAAAGCCTTCATCAAGAAGTCTCATCTCCTTAGACATCAGATAACTCATACAGGAGAAAAGCCCTATGAATGTAATAAATGTAGGAAAGCGTTTTCCCAGAAGTCAAATCTTATTGTACATCAGAGAATTCATATGTAGTATTTATTTTATGAATATGAGAAAGCCTTAGATATTAAATAAATCTTACTAAGTAACAGAGATGTCATGTTGAGGAGAAATTGAAGAATTAGAATGAATTTGGAAGAAGTAGGTTTCCATAAAGAGATAATCAATTCCTGTCATGTTCTGGAAGTGATAATAAAGCTTTTACAAGAAAAGATCACAGAAAACATTGAATTATAAATAATAGAACTTGGAAAGTAAGCATAAATTAAATAATTGAGGAATCAGTGAAGACTTCATTTACCATTCCTGAGGGTTTTTTTATTTTTATAACAAATTCTACAATTATGTAAGTGTAAGAATAAACTATATTTATTCATAAAATTAGATGATACCTATTGAATTTCTGCAGTGAATATCGCCATTTTTCCCCCAATCCTAACAATAACATGCAAAGGGGGAAAATGTGGTTTAATATGCAGTATGAAGTTCCGTAATATTTTTATTCATTTGCTGGCACTTTTTAAAAAATAATGTTTTTAAAGATTTTATTTATTTTATTTCTTAGAGAGGGGAGGGAGAGAGAAAGAGAGGGAGAGAAACATCAATGTGTAGTTGCCTCTCATGCATCCTCTACTGGGGACCTGGCCCACAACCCAGGCATGTGCCCTGACTGGGAATAGAACCTTCAATCCTTTGGTTTCACAGTCCAGTGCCCAACCACTGAGTCACACCAGCCAGGGCCATTTGCTGGCACTTTTAGTGGGCATAGTAGTGTGACTTAATCCCAGAGTCTCCTCTTTAATTACAAAACTTGTTATAAAGATGTTTTCTTATGTAAACACCCAAACAAAAATTTAACAAGATAACAATTGATAGGGGGAAGGAGCAATTGTATTCTGTATTACAATAAGCATTTCATTGAGGAAAATATTTAAGTACGTAAATAAAACATTTCCACTCAAACATTTTTTTCATTGGTGTATCTACATAAAATATAGCATAGCTCAAGTAGTATTTAGTTGTGTTATCTGTATTTGATTTTAGTAAAGTAGGGTGTCATGATAGCTTGTAACTCTCCAGAAGCTAGTTTTTAGGTCTAAGATTATATATATATATATACATAAAGTTGATATCTCATAGGAATGCCTGGAATTTTCTATATGACAGCATAGGCAGCATTAACCACGTTTAAAAGCAAGTTTTTCTGCATATCAACATTTCTTTGGAATGTGACATTTTGTTAGTACCACATATCCCCTTGAAGGATGAGCCACCCATTATTTAAGCTGAAGTTTTTATTGCTGTCCACAATATTCCTTAGTAATATCAAAAACCCTTTATGCCTTTTCTTGAGTGTTGCCATAACAGCTTGAACTTAAGTTCAGAAATCATACCTCTTTCAAGTTTAAGTTCAGTTACAACTATGATGCACTGTTTCTTTCATTAGCTATTTTTTGAAAAGTAATGTTGAATAGTGATTATAAATTGATGATAGTGCTTTTTTTGCATAAGCATACTAGAACTTAAGGATCTAAATGATATCTTTTCTGCTATCAAATACTTTTTATTTTTTATTGAATTTATTGGGGTGACATTGGTTAATAAATGTATATAGGTTTCATGTGTACAGTTCTATAACACATCATCTATATATTGTATTGTGTGTTCCCCAACCCAAATCAAGTCTCCTCCCATCATCACCATTATGCACTCTATACCCTCTTCTACCTCTCCTCAACCCCCTTCCCTTCTGGTAATCACCACACTCTTGTCTGTGTCTTTGAGTTTGTTTTGCTTAACCCCTTCACTTTTTTCACTCAGTTCTGCAACTGCCCTTTCCTCTCACAGCTGTCTGTTCCCTATCTATGAGTCTCTTTCTATTTTGTTTCTCAATTTATTTTATTCACTAGATTACACATATGAGTGAAGTCACGGTATTTGTCTTTGGCTGGCTCATTTCACTTAGCATAATGCTCTCCAGATCAACCCATGCTTTTGCAAAGGGTAAGATCTCCTTTATTATGGCTGAGTAGTATTCCATTGTGTAAGTATTACTTTTTTATCTACTCATCTACTGACAGGCACTTGGGCTGCTACTGTATCTTGGCGATTGTAAGTAACACTGCAGTGAACATAAGGATGCATATATCCCTTTGAATTAGTGTTTTGGGTTTCTCCAGAAGTAGAATCGCTGGGTCATAAGGCAGTTCCAGTTTTAATTTTTTTTTAGGTAATTCCATACTACTTTCCACAGCACCTGCACCAATCTTCATTCTCACCAACAATACACAAAAGGGTTCCCTTTTCTTCATATCCTTACCAGCACTTATTTATTGATTTATTGGTGATAGCCATTCTGACAGGTGTAAAGTGATATCATTGTGGTTTTAATTTGCATTTCTCTGATGATTAGTGACATTGATAATCTTTTCATGTCTATTGGCCCTCTGTATGTCCTCTTTGGGGAAGTGTCTGTTCAGATCTGTCGCCCATTTTTAATTGGATTGTTTGGGGGGGAGGGTTGGTGTTTTATAAGTTCTTTTTTTTTAAGATTTTATTTACTTTTTTTTAGAGAGAGGAGACGGGAGGGAGAAAGAGAGAGAGAAATATCAGTGTGCAGTTGCTGGGGGGCTGGGGGTCGTGGCCTGCAACCCCCAGGTAGGTGGCCTGACTGGGAATCGAACCTGCGACACTTTGGTTCGCAGCCCACTCTCAATCCACTGAGCTACGCCAGCCAGGGCAACAGTTTTCTTATTCCCTATATGAAATCCTCATTTTGCTCTACTCAGTGCTTCCCATTCCCATCCTATTTCCCCTTCCCATGTCCATGGCTCTCATCTGCAACTCTAAACTACTTCTAAAAAATACCCCCAAACTGAGCAAACAACTAGAACAGGAACAGAATCACAGAAATAAGAGATCACATGGAGGGTTATCAGCAGGGAGGGGAGAGCAGAGAAAGGGGGGAAGGGAATAAATAGCATAAATGGTGGATACAAAATACACAGGGGGAGGTAAAGAATATTATGGGAAATGTAGATGCCAAAGAACTTATAGTACAACCCATGGACATGAACTAAAGGTGGGAGGGAATGCTGGAATGCTGGTGGGGGATAGGTGCAGGGTGGAGGGGAATAAAGGGAAGAAAAAAATGGGACAACTATAACAGCATAACCAATAAAATATATTTAAAAAAAGACTAAAGGAAGAGGATACATTTTAGGAGGGAGAAGGGGCCTCTGCTGTTGCCAGCATGATGTTGCACCCCATGAGAGAGCAGCTGCGTGGGTCAAGTTGACAAGAAGTGTGCAGTAGTCTGCTGTGGGAATAAGGAATAAAATAAGAATTTTCAGTGCTCGCTTCAGCAACACATATACTAAAATAAGAATTTTCATTGTAATATATCAGGAGGCATGTAAGTTAATTCCATAAATTAACTTACTCCCTTCCATAAGGGTAAGAAGGAATACTGTAGAATAAGTTAAAATGTATTTCCAGTACTGGAAAAGCATATACTGTCACCCAGAGCACCTTTGTCACTGACCTCATTGTCTTAGGCTGTATGAAATTTTGGCAAGAAGAAAACCAAAACCATTCTCAGCTCTATCCAAACAGGAGCTAACTCAACATGTTTTTGCAGCATGAATATTAGATATATGCTTACAATAGGCCTCGCAGCACACACACATGTTTTAAGTGGTGGGGTGGGAGGCAGGGAAAGGTCTGAAGAAACTCGTAAAAGAGAAATTGTCCCGAATCTGTTTGGAATAATTTTTTTGCATGCTATAATTCATGACTTCCTTTTGGAAAAATTACCATTGATGATGAGCAATTTTTAAATGACTAATGGGATTAAGACTTGTTTTAGAAACTAGTCCACCTACCCTGATGCCTGTCAGATAGACTTTCCTTTTATTGTAGTGGCTAGCAAATAACGATTATGTAACCCTTCTCTTTTCCTATATAAAGTCTTTCTCCCTGAATGAAAGTTGAAATTGGCCTCTTGCTGTTGCCTTACAACATGATTGTAAAAAAACCTATGAAACATAACTAGACTATCTGAAACAAACACCCTTTTTGACAGGCTCTAATACATTAATTTATATAATTTATATATTTAAACTACTTACAGTTGAGATATATTTGTTATTCTGTTACTAAAGTTTAAGTCTTTTAAAATAAGAAAATGAAAGGAGAAACCACATTTGGTCTATTTTCCTCCTGGTTCCTATTTGCCATGTCTTATGGCACATGTCCTCTATACGTTATGTCTGTATTAAGTAAAAATGACATACACCTTTCTCTTCAGTATGACCAGAGCTCTCCAAGAAACTCAAGAAAAACCAAACTGGAAACCTCCACTAGAAGAACAGGAAACCCCTCCTTCGGTCGGGACCCAAGCTCCACGATCCTTATGGGAAATGTAGTCCTTGATGAATTTCTTCGGCGCACCCTGGGAAATCTGGCCGAATCAAGGCTTCCATACACTTGCACTGGGCTGGATGGGCAGTGTTCTCAGTGCTTTGGCTGGTTTGGCGCCAGCGTCACGTGAAAGTTGAAGAGCAAAGACCGACTTATTGGTGCATGTGAAAGAAGTAAAACTGTAGGCATTCCCTATGCGGGGGGTGGGGGTGGGGCTGTCGGGGTGGGGGGCGGGTGTTGGCTCAGAGCTAGCCAGGGAAGGGCGGGGCTTCCGCTGCTGGCGGGCCAGTGGTGGGTTAGTCTGCATCTCTCTGTTGCAGGTAGCGTGTGCTGCTAGCTACCTGGAGGGAGCTCACGCCAGTGAGTTGAACTGTGCCACACCCCCTTTTTAAGCCTTTTGGCTCTCAGAGGGCAGTAAACCCCCTTTGACGGCGGGGAAGAGAACCAATATATCCAGTGTCACACACTATTAAGCACTTTTAAGAGTGATATTTATTACTGTTACTCTATGATGTAACTATGTGAAGAAGTTACTGGCTTCAAATCACACAGCTAGTAAGTGGAATAGATAGTATTCAAACTCCCTGCAATTTTACCTGAAATTTGATTTTTATTTTGAGCATAGTGTTGTACTTTACTTAAAACAAAAAGTTGGTTTGTGTTGTCCTTTCTGAGGAGTGAATGCAAAGTGAAATTGAAATTTGTGATCCTTACTTTTTTGAGGGAGTTCTTGGTGTCTCTGCAGGAAGACCCTGTAGTTCAGCTTGTGGGTCCCTCTTGCATATTCCTGCTTGTCTCAGTTTCCGGCAGCCCTGGTTAAAATTCTACACCCTGGCCAAAGTGGCTCGGTTGGAGCATTATCTGGTAGACTGAAGAGTTGTGGGTTCCATTCCCGGTCAGGGCATAAATTCAGGTTGTGGGTTCAATTCCCGGTTGGGGTGTGTAGGAGAAGGCAGCCAGTCAATGTTTCTCTCTCTCTCTCTCTCTCTCTCTCTCTCTCTCTCAAAGCAATGGAAAAATGTCCTTGGGTGAGGATTAAAAAACACACAACAACAACTACAAAAGGCTAACCAAGGGCTACAGGTGCTGGTGAGTTCACAGAATGCCTGTTGAAAAAGTGTTGCTTTCCTATCATTCAGTCCATGTTTTCTAGGAAAAGGGGAAGGGTAAAGAGATTAATCCTCAGAAGAGATTCTTCTGACCTGTGACTTTTATCCCCCATTTCAGGAGAGATGGGAATCAACTTTTGTCTCTCCCATCTAGGGTTTGAATCCTGGTACTACATGTAGTGCCATCAAGGACTTTGTCCATGGAGGTGGTGTTCCAAATGTTTGAGGAGAGAGGTGAGAATTATGGAAGAATGGAGAGTGTGGGTTTATGGGGTCAGGCTCCATAGGAAATGGAAACTCAGGAGGAGAATGATGATACACGAGGCTTGCCTGGAAAAAGTCTGGCCATTGTTAATATAATGAGAATGGTTTGCCCAAAATCAATGTAACCTGGCAGCCAAAGAGAGTGGACTGCAATGCACATGCATGAACAATGATGACTTCACTGTACTAGTCAGTGGGGGATGTAGACCCTGTTGAGTGAGCATGTGTACTGTGTGGCCGTCACATTCAAAATGACTGAGCTAGCAGAGCAACAAATCTACATCCAATTTTGCATGAATCTTGAACATTCCCCAGAGGAGAGATGCATGAAAATGGCTATGGGCAACTGGTGATTGGCAGGTTTATCACAGCAGTGAGCCCACTCATGCATCACATCTTGTGTAGAGTTCCTTGGTGAAACATCAAATCACCCAGGTGACTCAGCCCCACTACAGCCCAGATTTGGCCCCCTGTGACTTCTGGCTTTTCCCAAAACTAAAATCACCTTTGAAAGGGAAGAGATTCCAGGCTGTTGATGAGATTCGGGAAAATACGACAGGGTAGCTGTTGGCAATTCCAACAAAGGATTTGCAGAGTGTTTTGAACAGTGGAAGAGACACGTGGAGAGCTGTGTGAGGTCCCAAGGTGCCTACTTTGAAGGGGACTGAGGTGTCATTGTCCTATGGACAATGTTTCTTGTATCTTCTTCAGTAAATGTCTCTCTTTTTCATAGCATGTGGCTGGATACTTTCTGGACAGGCCTCATATAGTCTCTAACTGTAGGTGCCAACTTCTGTAAGTGTCCATAAGATCTGACTTGTTCCAAATTTCTGTATACTTACTGACTTATTTTTGTTTGCTTTCCCATCAGCAGTTGAGAAAGTATGTGTGGGATCTCTCCGGGTGATAGGTATTGGCGTACCTTGGAGATACCGTAGGTTTGGATCCAGACCACGTCAATAAAGTGAATATCACAATAAAGGGTGTCACATGAATTAGCTGGTTTCCCAGTGCATATGAAAATTATGTTTACACTATACTGTGGTCTATTAAGTGTAAATAGCATTATGTCTAAAAAACAATGCACATACCTCAATTAAAAATGGTTACCATCATCTGAGCCTTCAGCAAGTTGTAATCTTCTTGCTGGTGGAGGGTCTTGCCTCAAGGTTGATGGCTGTTGACTGATCAGGGTGGTGGGTGGTTCCTGAAGGTTGGGGCAGCTGTTGTAGTTTGTTAAAATGAGATCACAATGAAGTTTTCCTTATCGGTGACTGACTTCCTTTCATGAATGATTTCTCTGTAGCATGCAATGCTATTTTATAGCATTTTACCCACAGTAGAACTTCTTTCAAAATTGGAGTCCTCTCGAATCCTGCTGTTGCTGTATCAACTGAGTTTATGTAGTATTCTAACTTCTCTATTACCATTTCAACAATCTTCACAGAATCTTCACCTGGAGTCAGTTCCATCTCAAGAAGCCACTTTCTTTAATCATCCATAAGAAGCAACTCTTTATCTGTTAAAGTTTTATAATGAGATTTCAGCAATTTAGTCACATCTTCAGGCTCTACTTCTGATTCTGGTTCTCCTACTATTTCCACATGTACAGTCAGTCCCTCCACTGAAGCCTCGAACCCCTCAGAGTCGTCCATGATTTAGTGAGGGATGAGAGTCAGGGATGCGAGAGAAGTCAAGCATGACCCATTTTTCTGACTTGAACATCTGAGTGGTTGAGGTGTGGTTTCCTGAGGTAGGGAACAGTGGGAAAGAAGCAGGTTTGGAAAGGAGATAAAGTCAGAACTGAGTAAGATGATTTAGATGCCTTTGAGATATCCAAGTGGATATTTATTTCACCTGGTAGATATCTATTGCTTACCCGCCACAGATGAGGCACTGTGCTTCACACCAGATGTTCAAGTAGATTTTTGGGTCTGGTACTGTGGGTCTAGCGAGAGGGCTTGGCTGTTGGTGTACATTTGAGAATTGTCAGCCTTCAGATGGCATTTGAAGCTATGAGAATGGATGAAATCACATCAGGAGAATGTGAAGAGAGCCAGGGAACCCCAACGTTGATAAGCTGAGTAGAGAAGGAGACTGACAAAGAGTGATCAGAGAGGCAGGAGAAGACCAGGTCACTATGGCATCCGGACTCTAAGAGGAGGGTTTTGAGGGAGACCAGGTGGGCGGAAGGGCCAAATAATGCCAGGGAGTCAAGCATAAAGAGGATGGAAAACTTTCCATTGAATTTACCAGCAAGGAAGTGATTAGTTATCTTAATGAGGATGAATTTCTAGAACTAGAATTGCTGGGTCAAAGGCTGTGTTTGGTAAACACTGCCAAACTGTCCTCCCAGAAAGACTGTTCCAACTCATACTTCTTCTGACAGTGCCTGAGGGCACCTGTTTCCTTACACTCTTACTAGCCGTGGATATTATAAGTCTTAATCTTCGCCCAATGAATAGGGGGAAATAATGTCTCATTGGTACCTGAATGACCATTTCTTTGCTAATTTGTGAGGCAACCCATCCTTCCTTTCATGTCCATTTGTTTTTATTCTATGAATTACTCATTCAGGTCATTTTTAACCAGAGCATTTTATCTTTTTTAATTTGATTTTTAAGAGATCTTCATATTATTAACGTTAGTGAACCACTATTAAGAAATATGTATTTTAAAAAATTTTTATTGTTCCTTTTAATCATTCTTATGGCTTTGGCAGAAATCTGAAGTGTCTTTTATTCTGTCTACCTTTCTCAGTGTTGCCAAGTTTACCCTTTGTACCACCAACATTGGTGTAGATGCTTGCTTACTGAAGAGGAATTGCTGTTCATTGGTGTTTTAGGAACCTGTATGTTCAAGGATGTGGCCGTGGACCTAACCAAGGAGGAGTGGGGGCAACTGGACCCTGCACAGAGGGCCCCGTACAAAGACGTGAGCTGGAGATCTATGGCGACCTGGTGTTAGTGGATGGGGACAACTGCTCATTGGAGAATTCTTGTTTCCTTGGTGGTTAAAAGCTGTGGGCTCTAAAAGTGTTACTAACTAAGGAGGGGCTTGAGATTCAAACCACAGAGTTTCTCAATCACTATTGAAGAAAGAAAAATGTTGCTGCCTAATAAAAATCTGTTTCACCTCCCCCACTTGTATTTCTTTTTTTTCTTCTGAGATAAAATTCACATAGCATAAAATCAACCATTTTAATTTGTACAGTTCAGTGGCATTTAATACATCAAAGGATTGTATTAAAGGATTGACCTTCTCTGTCAAGTTCCAAAACATTTTCATCACCCCAAAAGAAGATACTGCAGTTCTGCATCCAGACCACCATAATAAAGTGAGTGTAACAATAAAATGAGTCATAATCTTTTTGTTGGTGGAGGGTGTTGCCTTGAGCTTGTAAAAAATGCAACACCTGGTAAGTGCAATAAAGCAGTGCAATAAGATGAGGTATGCCTGTGTTTATTTTGCATCTATGTGTGTATTTAATTTATCTGTTTGTTTTACAAAAATGAGCTGTGACTTCCTTTCAGTTATGTTACATATCTTTACATCTCAAAATTTTTAGACCCATTTAAATCTTTTCTTTATTATTTAGAGCCATTTCAGTCTTGTTAGTGGCTGTGTCATATTCCATTGTATGATGTATTGATGTACTGAAATTAATTTTTAACCAGTACTTTATTGATGGATATTTAAGATACCAGTTTTTCTCTGTTATAAATAATGCTGAAATAACTGTCCTTATGCTTAGAATTTTGGATATTTTAGTTCCAACATTTCTGTAGAAAAAAATTTATAGAAAAGGAATTGGTAGATCAGAGTTTATACATTTTTGTCAGATTGCCCTCCTGAGAAGTTTGAGTCAATTTGCATTCTTATGAGAATTCCAATTCTTCCCAGTCTCACTGCTCCTAATATTTTTTATTTGCTGATCTAAAAAGTAGGAATTACCATCTTTTGATTTTCCCTCTTTCCCTTCCAGACCTGATTTTCCTCTAGTTCTCTCTTCCTCTTAGTAAAATGGAAATTCCACCCTTCAAGTTGCTTAGGCCAAAAGCCTTGGAGTCCTCCTTGTCTCCTTTTCTCTCACCCCCAGGTCAGTCCCTCAGCAAACCTGTCAGCTCTATTTTCAAATAGGATCCAGGATCCAATCACTCTTCACCACCTCCACTGTTGTTACACTAGTATAATCAACTGTCCCCCCTCATGACTGAATAGCCTAAACACTAAGTCAAATTAGAACCTTCCCATATCAAATGTCCTTCAGTTGGTGAAAGCTTAAACAGTGGTTCCTCCATCTTGTGGAATACTATTCAGCAATTAAAAAGGAACAAACAATTGATTCACACGAAGCTTGGATCTGAAAGGAATTGTGCTAAGTGAAAAAAAGTAATTTTCAAAAGATTATACACTGTATTTCATTTATATAGCATTCTTGAAAAGTCAACAGTCCTGGCTGGTATGGCTCAGTGGACTGAGTGCCAGCCTGTGAACCAAAAGGTCGCCATTTGGATTCCCAGTCAGGGCACATGCCTGGATTGCGGGCCAGGTCCCCAGGGTGGGACTACATGACAGGCAACCACACATTGATATTCCTCTCCCTCTCTTTCTCCTTCCCTTCCCCTCTAAATAAATAAATAAATAAATAAATAAATAAATAAAATCTTTTAAAAAAGTGAACAGAGCCCTCATATAAAGATTCGCTAGAGTACAGGAAAACTACAGACCAATATCTCCCACGAATATAGGTGCAAAAACTCCTTAACAAAATACTAGCTAATCAAGTTCAGCAATATATAAAAAGATAACACAGAAGAACCGAACGGTGTTTATCCCAGGAATTCAAAAACTAGTCAAATGCTTGAAAATCAAGGTAATTCTCTACAGGAATATACTTAACAAGAAAAGCCACATGATGATAACAATAGATACAGAAAAAGCACTTGACAAAATTTAGTATACATTCATAATAAAAGTTCAGCAAACTAGGAATAGAAAGGAACTTCTTCAGTCTGGTCAAGACCATCATCACAAAAGTACAGCTAATGTCATACTGGGTGGTGAAAGATGGGATGCTTTCCTTGTAAGACTGGAGGCTCAGGCAAGGATGTCTCCTGTCACTGCTCCTAGTGGATGTGGCTCTGGAAGACTGAGCAAATGCAATGAAGCTAAAGAAAAAAAAAAGGCGTTCTGGTTGAAAAGGAAGATGTAAAAGTATTCACAGATGATATAGTCTATGTAAAAAATCCCAAAGAATCTATTTTAACATCTATTAAAAAATGCTCCTAGAACTAATAAGCTTAGCAAAGTTGGAGGGTACAAGATACAATATACTAAACCTACTGTATTTATACACATTAGCAATGAAGACTTGGGGACCAAAATTTAAAAAACAGAACTGTTTGTAATAGTGCCAAAAGAGAAGTGAAGTATAATCATAACAAAATATGTGCAGGTTCTGCATGTTAACTACAAAGTGCTAATGGAAGAGCTCAGAGAAGAACTAACCAAATGAAGAGACATGCCATGCTCGTGGACTGAAAGACTCAATATAGTTAAGATGTCAGTTCTGCCCAAATTGACATACAGATTTTAATGTAATTCCAAACTAAAAATTTATATGTAAAGGTAAAGGAACTAGACTAAAGATAATTTTTAGAAGAAAAAAAAACAAAAAGGGAGAACTCATATCTGATTTTAAGATAGTCTAAAGTAGTCAAGACAGTGCCATACAGGCAAAAGGATCACATAGAAGAATGGAACAGCATGGACAATCAAGGTGCTGAGTGAGTGGGCTGGCAGCCTCAAATGAAGGCTTGCCTGGGGAAGGTCCACTTCCAAGCATGATTATATTGGCCAGATTCAGTCACCTGAGGGCCAAAAGGGCTGAATTGTTAGTCTTTCTTACTCTAGTTGTTAGAAGTGAATTGTTTGGTCCAAACTCCAGAAGATTATCCAAAGGTGTGGTTACTTGGAGGCATCATGGGAGGCCATGTCAGAAGCTTCCTATCACATGCCTTTTTTAGATTAACTAAATTTTTAGAATACTGATCAAACCAAATATTAGCAAGGGTGCAAAGCAACAGGAACTCACATACGTTGCTGGTGAGAATGCAATATGTTACAGCCATTCTAGAAAGCAGTTTGGCAGTTTCTTAAAAAGTTAAACATCCACCATTTGACCCAGCAATTCCACTTCTAGATATTTATCCTAGAAAAATGAAGACTTAAAATCACACACAAACCTGTACATAAATGTTTATAGCAGCATTATTCATAACTACCCAACTCAGGAACCAACCCAAATGTCCTTCAGTGGGTAAATCGATAAACAAATTGCACCCACCTAAAGGAATAGAAGGGAACAAGTGACCGATTCATGCAACAGCATGAATGAATCTCAACTGTATTATGATCAGTGAAAGAGCTCAGTCTCCAACGGTTGCACTCTATTTAACTCCATTTATATGACATTCTGGAAAACGCAAAAATGCAGACATAGAGAACAGATCTTGGTTTCTAGGGTTAAAAGCAATGGAGAGAGTCTGACTACAGGTTAGCCAGGAACAGTGTGCATTTGACAAAACCACAGAACAGAAATGGTTGCTTAGCCCGAAGAGGAAGAGACGGTGCTTGGGCACCATGAAGAATCTTCATGTGCACTGACTAGACAATAAGTGAATACATCTCTACCCATTCTAAATCTCCACCAATATATCTCTATGCAGTGCATGCTTGAATATGGTAAGGGCTTCATCAAGCGTATGAATCTCTGAGTTCATCAGACAATCCACGTAAGACTGTATATGCAAAGAATGTCTTAAGAGTTTAATCAGAATTCATCCTGGAGTTGAAACAGTAGAAGAGCCTTACAAATGTGATGAGTGGGGTCATGGGTATCAGTCGGTACAAGAATATTTGCAATCATGAAAGTGTCCTTGCAGAAGAGAAACCCTATACAGGAGGGAAGGCTGGTAAGAGTTATTGTAGAGCTGCAGACCTTTGAGTTCATCAGAGTCCACACAAGAGAGAAACCGTATCTGTATGGTGAGCACAGTAAGGGCTTCCCTGGGTGCTCCACTCTTGTCCTTCATTCTACCCTCGTTCAGGACAAGTGCATGTGAATGTGGTGAGTGTGGTAGGCATTTTTCTTTAGGTGCGGAACTTGGCATTCATGAGAGGAGAGAGACCCTGTAAATGAGATGAGTTAATAAGGGTTCCTTTCAGGCTTCAAAACACACTCATCAGAGAATCCACATGAGGGAAAATTATAAATGAGTGTGATACGGACCAGTTAGAAAGGAAGTGTCCATTTTTAGTATCATCTACACAGTAAAGACATCCTATGGAACCAACGTGGTGGTGAGGATGCCAGAACTACAAGTCACAGACACGCAGAAGAGAGGCCTACTATAAATGTGACAGATGTGAGGGAGGGGGAGTCTACCCAGGACTTCAAACCCCATAACAAAATCACACATAGTAAATAAACCATACCAACAGCCTTAATGACATTTAAATGAAAATATTCATCGTGTTTTAATGTTATAAGACAAAGGAGTTACCCTAAAGTTCTGTGTGTGAAGAAACAATAAGAGGAGTTGAAAAGAATGATCACTATGAGACATCCAGGACTTGTGATGAGACTAGAAAACCACATCAGGGGTTGCATTCAAACCGTGACTCATCCAGGGCTGCAAGGTTCTGCCAAGAATGTAAGTGACCGTGGAGGCAGGTCCACGATGCTACTTTTCCTGGGTGAGGGTGTTCTATGCATTGTGTAAAATCTTGTCTTTAGATGGGTGACAGTTACCACTTTAACAACTCTTACATGGGCATTTTTTAAAATATTTTATTTATTTATCCTTAAAGAGAGGGGAAGGGAAGGAGAGAGAGGGAGAGAAACATCCATGTGTGGTTGCCTCTCACACACCCCTAGCTGGGGACTTGGCCCACAACCCAGGCATATGCCCTGACTGGGAATCAAACTGGCAACCCTTTGGTTCTTAGGCTTGCACT